TGTGGATGTCTTTAAAAAAAAAAAAAAACTTATTTAACACAGAAGTATAAGAAAAAATGTTAAGTTAAATTAAAGTTACTGAAGATGAGAATGACATTGAAAACAACACTAATATCGGAATTGTCGATGAGATAGTTAAAATGCTTCCCATCATGAAAAGGTAAGTGAAGATTGTTCGTAATTTTCTAATTTGTAGATGTATGTGGAAAGTATTTAAGTTGAATTACTATGTTAAAAACATTTAAAATCGACGGTTACCCACACTGTCCCTGTGCTAAATCCCCCCATTCCCATATTGTCACGTAAGTTGAATATCAAGCTGCTGGTCTTGTAACTAAACACATGTTTAATTGAGTTTAAAATTAAGTTAAATTTTATTTTTTTTTTGTAAAACTTGTTGCAAATCAACTTATTTTATGTTAATTTTGAATTTTTCGGGGATACGGAACTTGTATTAGCATATTTACTATATTTTGTTAGTTCAAGTCTAAAAGCAACAAAAAATGGGTCTGATGCGTAAACTGGCAACTTTCATTTGGCAAAACGACAATGTGTGAACCGGCGAGGGTCTGCTGTAAGTTGGCTTTCGATTTTCCTTATGCATTTAAAATAAGTTGGAATTTGAAAACTATTTAATTTTATTTTGTAATTGCCAATCGGATAATCTTCTGACATTTATATTTTGTCATTTCTTATGTCTATTGGGTCCTTCAATTAATAAACTGATGAAGAGGGGCACACGACACCAACGTTCATAATTCTTGCTTACGAATTATATTTATTTAAATCAACGTTTTTTTTTTTCTTGTTTGAATTACCATCTCATTTCTTTTCTCAACTTACGAATTATTTATTTAAATCAACGTATTTTATCATGTGAAATACATTTTTTAGACGATCACATCACTTTATAAATATTCTTTATATTTGTAACGTGTAAAATATAAATATTTTCACGCTTTTCGAAAAATAAAGGGCACTCAACCAAATTTAAATAAAAAATTTACACTAAATATGTTTAATTCTATAATTAAAAAAATACATTTTCAAAGGACAAGCGCTACAAATTTGCTTTTCACCTTTGAATTGGTACGGACTGTATAGAAATTGAGGTGGCATTAACATTTTTGCTTGCAATGATAAATGCAAAAAGTTAAAGCTATTTCAAAGCCATGACTTATTTATCGGCAACTGTGTAGAAGAAAGGTAACTATTACAATTTCTTATAAATTTGAAATACATTATAAATTTATAATTTATTGAAAAATGTGACAGCAACTTAGTGGTGGGAAAAAAGCTCGGATGGCTCGGGTTCGACCCGAAAACTTAGTGGTGGGAAAAAAGCTCGGATGGCTCGGGTTCGACCCGAAAAAATTTCGAGTCGAACCCCGCTTGGGCTCGGGCTTGGGCCAAGCCCCATTTTGGGGGACCGGTCCGAGGTGGGCCTGCCCGTGATTAAATTAAAAATAATAAAAATAATTTTTAAGCTAAAATAGCTGAGAAAAAAAAAAACCCCAACCGGCTCACCTCGGGCTCGGCTCAGCCCTTTTAAGGCTCGGGCTGAGCCTTATTTTTTTTGGCCGGGCTCGGCTCGGCTCGAGCCCGATTTATTTTTTCGTCTCCACTCGTTGACATAGCTATAGCAACTTACTAGTTGCTACCACATGAAAGACTGATGGATAAGCACATCTTACAAACAATATTATTCAAAAATATTATTACTTAGTACCACTTGTATTACAACTTCAGTTTAGAAGGTACTATATGATAAGCTGAATTAAGTGACTTACTTAATTGTAAATTTCATTTTAATGTTATATTAATGACATTTAAACTGATGTTTTAACATTAAGACCGTGTTTAATTGACATGAAAAATATATCTTGGAAAAGAAAATATTTTCTTTGTTTTAAGGGGGAAAAAAGTCAACTCCCCCTAAGAAAAATGTTTTCCTTAAAAAAAAGGAAAATTAAACATATTTTTAAAAGTTAGAAAATATTTTATACTGAAAAATAACAATCAAACACTTCAAAAGTAGGAATTTGAGTGGAAAACTACATTTTCCATGAAAAATAAATACAATCAAACACACCATAATTATGCTAAATGTTCTCACCATTCCACAAAAGTAGGCTTATTTCCATTTGTAAGCGGATTAAAATTTTTTAATTAATATAGTTGGAACAATAAATTTTACTTATTTTTTTCTAATATATCCCTGCATTGAATAATAGCAATCCTGTCGTCCCATAAAAATTGACATTCTTTCCTTTTTCGTATATCCCAAAATTATATATCAATTTCCTTGTTGAGGTTATAGTTAATTTTTAGTTTTCTAATATACATTTATTTAATGTAACTTGTTATTAACAAATATAAATTTGAGTGGAAAACTGACATTTTGTTGTGCAGGGTGTTTACATGAACATGAGTGGAATCAAGATCTCGTAATCACGTCACTTGTGTAAAAATCGAGGTCAAGTGATTTTAAAATTTTTGTTTCAAACAACAGATAGAAAACAATATTTTCTTCTATTTAAAACAAGATCCGATATGTAGATGATTGAGGTATGAACGTCCTCGTCATATAGCTGGAGCTCAAAATTATCAACGTTTAAAAATAGTTGAATGAAAAGGAAAGGACAACATATATTTCTTAATTGATTTTCCTAAATATTTGTGAAGCGTGAATAACTTTTCAATTATAGTTTATCTATTCGAATGACAATATTTTATTCCATTTATAGGACAATTTCAAAAAAAAAAAAAAATGATTAAGGTCTAAATATGGTAAATTGTAAATTTTCATATTTCCTAAATGTCTTGCTACTTTTCTAATTTTAACCTTAAATTGTGAAATAATTAATAATCATTCTTAAATTGAGATTAGACCCTTAATACACATCAATCCCTCTCTTGAATTTTTTAAAATAGTTTGAGCAATGTAACATATCTTCAAATTAACGTCAATTTGAATTAAAATCTTTTCAATTATTTTAATTCCTAGATCAAAATATAAACAAATTTTATTGACTAAATCGCCAAAATAAAATAAATCGTGTTATTGGCCAAGAAATAAAAGCTTCGTTTGATCTCTATTTTTTAAAATTCATTTTTAATTATAAATTCTTTTAATAAAATAATTTTGCAAGTAAACTCAAAAATTTTCACACTTTTTAACCGTAATTTTTTAAAAAAACTTATATTCAAAAAATCTCAGCAACAAAAATTCTATGTTGGGAATTTTAATTTTATTCTAATTAATCAATTTCTGTTTTTGTAAAAAAATTGGATGAGAATGGGACAGAATGACAGGTGTTTGAGACGTGTACACATGGCATGAGTTACTTGCTTGACGGTGGTGGCATTTTTGCTAATAACTCGACAAAAAGTGGCGTTTAATAATATATATATCAACTATCCCACTAGTGCTAAACCAACTTTTACTTTTGAGGAAACGAATGCGACTCTTGTCACTTCAATCTTCCACTTAAATATACACACTATCTCGCTCACCCCCGTAAATAAATGAATAATACTGCATGTACAATACATGATTTATAATATTGAATTACAACCTCTGAAAAGGGAGGCGGGCACCGTGATTAAAATAATAGTGGGTCTCACCTCCCTTGTGACTCAGAGCTTGTTTGTAATGGATTTTAATCCAATTAAAATTGAAAATATAGCAGTTATTGGGTCCCACCGATCTAATAAAGTCAACAATAATGACTAATTTTTCAATTTTAATCACTTCCAAACAAACTCTCAATGTTGTAACCCAACATTGTACAATGAACATTATTCTAAATAAATACGTTCGAGTTCAAAATTGTTTGACTCTTCACGACATATTATAATTTTTAGCCCGTTTCACATCCATTAAAAGATTTTTTTTAAATAATAATTTTTTAAAGAATGTATGGTTAAAAAGTAAGAAATTTTTTTTAGTTTACATTCATAATATTTTATTACGTAAACGTATGGTTAAAAATGAGCTTGAAAAAAAAAAGAGTTTTGATGTAATGAATGTCAAACATAGACTTAGCCCTTGTTTGTACCCAATTATAATGAGATATTTGGACATAATGTATTTTGGAATAATAATTTTTGGGAGAATGTATAGTTAAAAAAGAAGGATTTTTTATTTATTTATGTGTAATATTATTTTATTGAAGAATATAAAAGAAAATTATATTACGAACATGGACTTAATAATTTGAAGATACTGATGATGCAAAAAGTGACACAAAGTGATTTCAACGTCGGGATTCTATTCTCAAATTAACTGGTACGTTCCTAAGAAGAACTCTGCCTGAATTGGACTTAAATCAAGTCCTAAGCAAACTACAATTCTGTATTCATATTCCAATCAAATAAGTATATCTTTCTATTATAGCTCCTACCCCTTTTATTAAAGCTACATAATCAATCCTTTTACATTCCGGTAATTGTTTCAGAGTTTGTCTCAATTAATGAGGTAAAATTTAAAAGAACATTATATTTTAACGTCTTTTAATTTAATAAAAATGTGCTGATTTGTCAAAAATAGATTGAGGGAGCAGCAAATTGAAGGAAAAAATTCTTTGAGATCTCACGCATGTATAGGCTTCAATTTCACATAAAGACATACACACAGTAAACACCAGTTTTACTTAAAAGAATACACACAGCAGACACAAACAACATAAATACTCGACCTTACGTAGTACAAATCATCACCAAAAATCCTCTCTCTCTCTCTTTCTCTATGTCACACACACATTACCCGTCACACAGAACCACACTATTTTCAAGGCTCGAATTACTCTCTCTCTCTCTCTCTCCCCCTCCTAAAGCCTACAGGAGTCCTTAATTCTTAGAAATCTCTTTCTCTTTCTCTCTCACACAAACACACACAATATCATCTCTCTCTTAGAACTCCATTGAATACAATTCACTAAATCTCTCTTCAAATTTCTCAAAACTGCAATTGAAAACGGCGGAGCTTTACTGCCCGAATGGCAGATATAGCAAAGTACGCACCCATTGGTGTTGGTGGTGGAAATTTGATCTCAGATTTCAAGAGCCACTTTTCACTATTCAGAACTAAGAGAACTGTTTCTATTGCATATGGGTTTGTGTTTGTTTTTATTGTTGTCACCATTTTTCTAGCCTTTAGCCCCTCTCCGAACTCTTCTTCGCCGTGGTTTACTAACATTTTTGCTGCCAGTAGTACAGACGGTACGGGTTCTGCAACACCATCATCAATTTTCTCTGATGAGTCTTATAGATCTCATTTTTCTTCATTTTTCTCTTATTTTTATTCTCATAATTCTTCACCGACAGAAGACGATGTTAGATCCCAGCACCCTGCGATTAAACCCTCCAATTTGAATAAAGAATCCCCAGTTGAAGTCTTGAAGCCAAGTAATAGTTCAGTTTTACCCCAGAAGCCTTCTGTAAATCGGACTGCCGATAATGGTATGCCACCGAAGTCCTTTTCTGAGTCGAATAAAGGGTCATCAGATGTCAAAAATCAGACTCAAATCGAAGACTTGCACGATAAAGTTGAGGTTTCAAAGCAGAACGAGATTCGGAATAAAGATTCGGATGCTGAAGTTGGAGTCCTGAAGCAAAATCAGACTCAAAATAACAAAGTTGAAGTTTTGAAGACAAATCAAAGCACAACTGGGGACACAAATTCTCCAGTTCCTGTGAATTCATCACCAAATTCTGCTTCTGGAGCACAAAAAGTTTTAAAGAATGGAGACAAGGGAAATACAGAGCAGGGTTTGAATAAAAACTTAACTTCTTCTTTGATGAAGAAACATGACGATTTGATCAAATCTTTGACGAATTGTGATTTTTTTGATGGAAATTGGGTGAAAGATGGTTCTTATCCACTTTACAAGCCTGGTTCTTGTTCTCTGATTGATGAGCAATTTAACTGTTTTCTTAATGGTAGACCTGATAATGATTATCACAGAATGAAATGGAAGCCCAAAGGTTGCACTCTCCCAAGGTATGTGGCAGAATCTTAGTCTTCTTTGTCAAACACAATTCCAGTAATTAATGACATTTTAATTCAAATTATAATCGGGTTTGTTCTAATTCAGTCTGTGTACTTGTACTAAAATGTTTCATAATTATAGGGTCCTTATAAATGGTAATAATTTTTATACTTAGCCAATATAAATTGTATTGAAACTTGAAATATACAGGCTGAACGGAAGTCATATGCTGGAAATGTTGAGAGGAAAGAGATTAGTGTTTGTTGGTGATTCTCTGAATAGGAATATGTGGGAATCACTTATATGCATATTGAGGAACTCTGTGAAAGATCAGAGTAAAGTTTACGAGCAACAAGGCAGGCACCATTTTAGGACAGAAGCTTCTTATTCCTTTATATTTGAAGTAAGTTATGGGATATTTCTTATTCTTTCTAATCTGATTTCAATTCTACTTTTAGATAGCATATTCTCAAATTGATATTTTTCTCCCTTTGGATTGCTATGGATGGATTTGTAGGACTATAAATGCACTGTAGAGTTCTTTGTAACTCCTTTCTTGGTTCAAGAATGGGAAGCCACAGACAGAAAGGGAATGAAGAAGGAAACACTTCGACTCGATATAATTGAGAGGTCGGCCAATCATTACAAAAATGCTGATATCATTGTTTTCAACACTGGACACTGGTGGACTCATGAGAAGACGTCGAAAGGGTAAAATTCACTATAACTTAATACAAGCTTGTAATGAGTTTGTTCGAGCCTAAACAATTTTAAATGTTTTTCAGGGAAGACTATTATCAAGAAGGCAGCCATGTGTACAAAGAATTGAACGTTCTCGAGGCATTTAGGAAAGCTTTAACAACATGGGGAAGATGGATTGATGCCAATGTAAATCCAAGGAAAACGCTCGTCTTCTTCAGAGGCTATTCTGCTTCTCATTTCAGGTAATAAATTACAATGATCTGAAAACTAAGAAAACGAATTTATGATTCCTTTGGACTACCATATTTGGTTAGTCTTCACCGTAGAAATGTTGAGAAAAAGGATAGTTCAGTTACCGATTGTTTTTCTTATGATAAGACCAACACATTGAAGAGAAATTGCTGCACTTATTTATTGATTGCTAAGTTGTTGTTTTTCTCCTACCATGTATTGATTTCATCACCATTATTCTTCAACCTTGATTTTAATATTCTGCAATCTTTATTTTATGTTTTCAAACAGTGGTGGGCAGTGGAATTCTGGTGGACAATGTGACCACGAGACCAAGCCGATAAAGAATGATACTTATCTCACGCCGTATCCACCGAAGATGACGGTTTTGGAGAACGTGTTGAAAGGAATGAAAAACCGCGTAACTTATCTCAACGTCACGAGAATGACCGATTATCGAAAGGACGGTCATCCATCAATATATCGAAAACAAAATTATTCCGAAGAGGAGAGGAGATCACCATTGAGCTTCCAAGACTGCAGCCATTGGTGCCTCCCCGGCGTACCCGATGCTTGGAATGAGATACTCTATGCCGAACTTCTAGTAAACCAGAAGAAACGACGAAAAGGGTATTAGTACTAGACTCGAGTATACAGATATGTGCATTATGCATTTTCTTTGTTCTTACTTTACTTTTAAGAATATAGATACAGAAAACAACCTGCAGAAGATCCAAGAAAGAGTATTTTGATATGGTATATAAATAATGAGAAACAGAGATTGTAATTGAATGTGTTGATATGCGGGAAAGGGGGCTTCATTGTTAATTTTATCTATCTAAGAATAATTAAATATTATTTCGTTAGCCTCTCTATAATTGATCATTTTGGGATCACAGATTAATATATAATTAGTTTGTTACGATGTGGTCCTTCTCTTTAATGTTAATACCATATAGTATTATGTTGCCGTATGGTACTTTTTTGGCTACTTAGAGGTCCATTTTCCAACGTCAAATCAATAATTCACTCTTCCAAGTAATAGATTGATTTTTATTTTTACTTTTTTTTGTAGTTTCTCTACTATCAATGCCTATTGAAATCACAAAATATGAAAACCGAATCGCATCAAGTGATAAGTATCTTGCATTGGTCGATATTTTTTGTTGTAAAAAATAACTCGATATGATTCTGCATTCATGGGTCAGCAGTGGAAACGTGTGTGAGCGCTCTTTCCGAAACAATTATATGGCACGGTTTAAGGTTTCTTGGCGGAGATTCTGTATCGTATTAATGGAATTTAAACTTGATCTCGACTCCTTGATGCTTTACGCTAATATATTATTGGACTAAACTTTAATAACTTTATATTTTGGACACTTTCTAAGTTTCTTTAATTTAGTTTCTTCCTCATCTTCACATGGGGAAGGGGATGCATGCTTTGACCTTATGCTCACTGATTATAGTCACTAATCAGTGCAGTGATTAAAGCGTGTATTGTCGGTTTAAAACGTGATATGGTATCAGCAGTTGTCGAGTCTTTTTCCACATGGGCATTGATTCATTGTGGATTATAATACTTTTGCTGGAAGCCCAAGTGACAAATTTCACTTGGAAGTATACCACTTTTCAAAATCACTTATTCTGCTACTTGCTTAAATCAGAAGCAACACTACGAAAACCTTTTGAAACCTTGAGCAGCAGTAGATGATTGGTGGGGCCAATAATCGAATTTAATGAGGGCATAACTTAACTGAGGATTTTCTTTTTTCCCCAAATAACGAAATAACAAAATAATATTAAAAAATCTAGCATTTATTATAATCCGTATAAAATTTACCGTCATACTCTCAAATATCAGACATGGAGACCAAATCAATGGGAAATTTTATAAGTTATACAACGAAATGCATTAAGGAAATAAAGGAAGCAAATTATAATGATATTAGCAACTCTATTGCAGATTTGGAACAAATACAACTACCAATATTTCTGTAATTGTGATGCAGCTTTGGTAACTGATGCAATCCAAATCACATATTGAACTCCAATAATCATATACAGTTTTACAGATCTCCAAAACCAACATTGTCAACTTTCTTTTATTTATGTTGTAAACAATTTAATAAATTAGCGAAATGGGTCAACTTTGAGATCAAATTTCACTTAGACCTATACTCCAAAATTAAGGGAACTAAGCATAATTATGTTCTACTCATCGAGTTGATTAACATGATATATTTATTTATCGAAAACTATTTAGAATTGAATTCAATGTTTGATTTTACATTTGTCCACTTGAAACTTTAATAACTGAAAATTTGATTGAATTTGTTATAACTTGTATCACTTATGAAATCTTGAATTTTTTTGTTTGGTTTATACTGTGAAAGTTTGGCGATTGGATTTAGGCCCCAAGGGGTATTGTTCATATAAATTTTGCAAGCGTACAGAATCGTTGACAAGTACTATGTGATGAGTTGAATATTGTTCGAAAGAAAATAAATTATAATTCAAGTGTATAAGTTTTCTATCAAATTCAAATTATTGTAACATACAAGTGAATGTTTTGTAATTATTCTAAGTATTCTAAGATGCAGGTGAAAACGTTGGTTGTAAACTTATATCGAATAAGTGTATTGAAATTCAGAATCTGCCCATTGATATATGTTTTTGTTGAATTCTAGAGGAAGATGACAAAGAATAGTTGTGTTTATTGATATTGTTGTGTATTANTGTTGAATTCTAGAGGAAGAAGACAATGAATAGTTGTGTTTATTGATATTGTTGTGTATTACAAATTGATAAGTAGCTGTATATATAGGAAAATGAACTAACAGTTGTATATTGTACAATCTAAAAATGGTAAAAGTAGGATAGCTCCTTTCTCTGAACCTATCTGCCTTTTTTCCTAAAATGGCTCCTGATGGACTGGCTTCTGATGGACTGGTCCTTCAATAGGTCTATGCTTTTATTTTCTTGTTTTTCAACACTCCCCCTCAAGTTGGGTTCGAATAAATTGATTGATCCCAACTTACCAAGAATGTTCAGATGACTAGCTTTGTCGAGTGCATTTGTAAAGATGTCCGCCAATTGTTCTTTGCTTCTNGACAATGAATAGTTGTGTTTATTGATATTGTTGTGTATTACAAATTGATAAGTAGCTGTATATATAGGAAAATGAACTAACGGTTGTATATTGTACAATCTAAAAATGGTAAAAGTAGGATAGCTCCTTTCTCTGAACCAATCTGCCTTTTTTCCTAAAATGGCTCCTGATGGACTGGTCCTTCAACGGGTCTATGCTTTTATTTTCTTGTTTCTCAACACTCCGCCTCAAGTTGGGTTCGAATAAATTGATTGATCCCAACTTACCAAGAATGTTCAGATGACTAGCTTTGTCGAGTGCATTTGTAAAGATGTCCGCCAATTGTTCTTTGCTTCT